CCACCAGGAGTGATCCTTGGATTTGCAGACTCAGGAGTAAACCCTGAGCATAGCTGAATATGTCCAACCCCATAGCCCCTCAGGGGAAAAAAAAAGGCACTTGGTGGCTGGGGCCTGGGTTTAAGAGGGAAATAGGGTAGAGGTTAGAGTTCTAAGTCCAGAACTAACTCATTGGAGTTTTCCTAAGGCAGAAATCAGATACTATTTCATTGGTTACCTGGTTATCTTAATGAGCTCCTTGAAGCCAAGAGTGTTTTTCTTTACTTGCCTTTGTAAGCTGAATGAGCATTTAGATATTAAAGGATTGTCCTTGGTCAGTGTTATCGTTACAAAAACGTGGAACAAAGTGTGATTCCTGGACAGAAATTGCAACAAATGCTGTCCTAGTTCTCATGGACTGTTTTTCAAAAGTTAGCACAACTCTCTACCTTTCCTTTTCATATGCATTTCTTTTAGTATATGGGCCAGAGCAATTGTGTAGGTGAAGGGCATTTGCCTTGCATACGGCTGACCCCAATTCTATCCCGGCATCCTATATGGTTCCCCAAACACTACCAGGAGATATTCCTGACTCTGGGGAGACTCCTGAGCATCACTGGGTGTGACCCAAAAAGCCAAATATATATTTTTATTAAATATTAGAATATGTAAATATGGAAATAAGTATAGTTTTTATAAAATATAAAAATAAAACATAGAAATAAATATATTAAAAAAGAATATTTGAGAAAAACATGGGGAACGGAGACTGGTTACTTCTCCAAAATACAAATTTGACTGTATTTTTTGTTTTGTGTTTAGTGTTATTTTTAAAATCATCTGGAGCAAAAACTTCCAGTTTGGTTTGGTGCCATCCAGCACAATTTTGGAAGCGGATGGTACATATTCTGCCAGTGCATGGCCTGGTGATGCCAAAAACTGGTCAGAAAATGAAACCATTAGAAAAGGATGGAAACTGCCAAAAGTGACATCGGAATATGAAAATGACATCAAACCATTCAAAATATTTAAAATTTGAATTCTTGGTATTTACTCTTTATGTTTTATGTAATGTACATAACTCATATTAAATGTTACGTACATTAAGTATTACGATGACAATGTATTAAAAACAAATGGTTTATTGTTTAATAACTAAGCCTAAAGAAAACAGTTCAGTCAGTAAATCAAAACTTTAAGTCGGGCACTTGCCTTGCACTTGGCTGACCCTGGTTCTATCCCCAGCACCCCATTTGATTCTCTGAGCACACCAGGAGTGATTTGAATGCAAAGCCAAGAATACAGTCTTGAGCATCACCAGGTATGACCCCCCCAAATAAAACAAACATCTTTACTAATGATTTAGAAAGGAAGGAACTGACATCACAGTGTCTAAGAATCCAGTACTCATGAATTTTTGTAGATCTTCAGGAAGATTTAGACTTGAAGGTACTCCTGGAGATGGATGGGCTTTTTTAGTAGCAGTGAATTAAAATTTCATTTAAAACTTTGAGTAGAAAACATATTTGGATTGCTTCAGAACTGAATAGGAACCAAATAGACATTTTTATAACTACATAGATAATTGTAAAATTACATTTTTCTTCTTTATAGTTATGTTTGTGATAGCATACTTGTAGGGCGTTTGCCTCCTCGAGAGTGTTTGCCTTGCGGGCGTTTGCCTTGCGCACATCCGGCTGAGCCGGGTTCAATTTCTCCGCCCCTCTCGGAGAGCCCGGCAAGCTACCCAGAGTATCTCCCTCCTATGCCAAACACAGTAACAAGTCTCACGATGGAGACATTACTGGGCCCGCTCGAGCAAATCGATGAACAACAGGAGGACAGTGACAGTGATAGTTATGTTTGGGCTGGAGTGATAGCACAGCTGTAGGGCATTTGCCATGCACGCAGCAACCGGACCCACCCAGGTTGGATTTCTCTGCCCCTCTCAGAGAGCCCAGCAAGCTACCGAAAGTATCTCGCCTGCACAGCAAAGCCTGGCAAGCTACCCGTGATGTATTCGATATACCAAACACAGTAAGGACAAATCTCACAATGGTGACATTACTGGACCCGCTTGAGCAAATCGATGAACAATGGGAGGACAGTGACTGTGACAATGACAATAGTTATGTTTAAAATTTCGGATATTTCTAAATATCATTTGCCCCTAGTAGAATAAGGAGCCCTTGGGGAAATGACTGGTCTTAAATTTAAGGAAGAGAGCAATCTGAAAAATTGGAAGAAGTGTGTTGCACTTTCTTTTTGTTGTGCCAGAAAGCAAGGCCATAGTCAGAGACGATTCAGACTTGTCCTTGGACACATACTCTTTGTCCTTTGGACTCGTGATCTTTGGAACTCAGAAGATAGCTTGAGTAATCTCATCCATGTCTTATCGGTATTTAAGTAGTGATTAATTGCTGGATCTAGGCAAACACTGTGAGTGGCTAACAGTATCACCAGAGTCAATCAGACATTATGTGCTTCCTGATAGAAATTAGAACATTGCATGGAGTATTCTTGCCCTGTCCCCAGTGTCCTTACTTAGAACTTGAATCAGATAAAGCTCCTGGGTCAAATTTCAGTTTAAAGAAATACAAGAGACAGAGGGCTATTCACACACACACCAGTGGGGGGAAGCAGGCAAACCCAGATTGTAGAAATTCTTAGAAAATAACTCAATTCCTTTAATAGCAGTTTTTTTGGAAAAAATGCAAGGTATAAAATAGAGACAGAAATGGAACCCATAGGTAAAAGGAAAAGATTTGACTTAGGAAAAAAAATCTCAATGTTTTAGCTTTACTTGAATTGATATCCAAGCAAATGGAAGCAATTATAAGACCCTGTTGTTCAGAAACTATTTTTAGATGTGATAATGCTGTCATTGATGGTTTTCTATTTTTTTTTACACGTGCTGAAATACTTAAAGGTGAAATGATGTGATACTTGGCATTTACTTCAAAGTAATCTGATTTGGAGGACAGAGGGTGGGATTCAGGGAAGGGAATATTGATGAGAATATAATGAAACAAGACTGGCCAAGTATTGGTGATTGTTGAAGTCAAGTAAACTTGATTGATTCATTATTGTGTTCTTTTGTATGCATATGGAATCTGGGTGGTAATACATTTATGTTGGGTCATCAGTTGGAACAAGTGTACTAGCTGATGCAGGATGTTGATAGTGGGTGAAATTGTTGGTATGTGGAGAAAATAGAGTATATAGGAAAACTGACCTTCCACTCAGTTTTTCACTGCTAGACCTAGAACTGCTCTTAAAAATGTTTTACAAAGAAGCCAGTTGCATTGAACTATATAGATAACCTTTTTTTTTTTCATTAAATTTTGTGTTCTTGGGGGCCATGCCCGGCAGTGCTCAGGGTTCATTTAGCCTGACTCTGTGCTTAGGGATTACTTCTGGTTGGGATCAGGCAGCAGTATGTGGTGCCAGGAGTCAAACCAGGGTTAGCCTCATGTACAGCAAGCACCTTAAGCCTCTCTGATCTTAGGTATCAAAAATTTTAAGCAAGCAGAAAATCTTTTCTGTTACTTGTGGCCAACATACGCTACTCCAGTTTGAAATTAAGGGAGTAATAAATGTCTTGGAATGGTTAAGAAGGAGTTAATGAAAATAAACCACGTTTTCCATTTTCAGAGCTAAAGAGAAGACTTAGGCAGTTAAGCAGTACTTGTTTTCCAGATACTTTTTAATAATATTTTTTTCTTCCAAGTCTTTGTACAAAGCTTTCAGGGATAAAGAATATCCTGTGAGGGTTTTGTTTTTGTTTTCCCCCCCTAATGGAATAAATGCGTAATGTATTTCCAAAGTGGATTTCCTCCTAAGTTGATGAAAAATGTTACTGCCTTGCCTACTTTATATGCAAAATCTGTATAACACTTTTCTGCATTCAGCATCTTTATTGAAAGCCTCGTCTGCAATGACTATGTACCAGAGAATATACAGAAAAGAAAATGCAAACTCCCTGCTCCCATAGAGCTTATGTCTAGAAAGAAAAAAAAAAAGAATGAAAAGATAAGAAGACCTCCTCGTGAGGTGGCATTGAGTGGGGAGGGAGTGAGCCTCTCAACTGCCCGAGAAACATCCCTGGCCTCAGCATCAGAAGTGCAGAGGCCTTATAGTGAGGGAGGTCAAGACATAGCCAGGAGACTGGTCACCGTGGAGTGAAGTGAGGAGGGGCATAGAAGGTGATGTCAGGAGAAGAACATAATGAGGCCTGTGAAGCTCAGTGAGTGCTTGGATTTTGTCCTAAGACAACCAAGCAGCCATGGAGGGCTTTGAACTACCAGCAGTTGTTGTGGTTGCAGTGTTGAGCTCAGATGGTAAGGGCTAGGATGTCTGCACTCAGGAATTACTCGTGGTGGTGCTCAGGGGACCATATGGGATGCTGGGAAACAAACCCGGATCGGCCATGTGCAAGGCAAATGCCCCACCCACTGTGCTATATAGCTCCAGCCCTGAAATGGTTTTCAAGGTAAATGGAGCCTGCAGCGTTTGCTGACTGATTGAAGAGTGAAGAGGCAGAGAGAGGAGACGAGAGTGATCGTAGTTTAGCCTGAGCAGCTAGATGCTGGGGAACTCCCTCCCCAAGATGAGCAGACTGAAAGGGCTGCTGCTTGCAGGGACTCATCATAAAGTGGTATGGAGAGCTGGAAGTTTGCTAGAGCCCCTTGGAACAGACGTGGTAGCTTTCTAGTATCAGTAGAGACTTCAGGACAAAGATAGAGACTCTGTGTGATAAAATCAGAACTGTCGGAACCAGAAGAACTTTCAGGTCCAGTTGAAGATGTCAAATGATTCTCTGTGGGCAGTTTAGTTGCATGGTGGAAGATCCATACCCTAGAGGGAAAAGAATCTATAAGGGCCAGTGCAGAACTTTTATTAAATGCCCCCTACACATCTGCCAAGGATCCTAACTTTGAATCGTCAGAGTTTATGTTGCTGAGTTCATTTTTTGCCTTGTCGGTTAACTAATCTTGTTTGCGGTTGTTTTTTTTTTCTAGTTGGGGAATGGCGGTCAATGTGTACTCTACCTCGATAACCCAAGAGACTATGAGCAGACATGACATCATCGCATGGGTCAATGACATAGTGTCTTTAAACTACACGAAAGTGGAACAACTTTGTTCAGGTAAGAGAGAGACCCTCTTAAAGTATTTGCCGAGATGTTTGTTTTCTGTTCATGTAGAATGTGATTTTATGACTGCATATGGTATTTGGGAAAGGGAAAACTATGGATCAGTATTGATATGTAATTGAAGAAGCCTGCAATGGTATCACACTATCCCAATATACAATAAGAGAGGTCAGAGAGGTCTTCTTTGTACAGGGGAAATTCAGATTTTTTTTATTCCTTCTTGGTTTTGAGGCAAAAATCTATGACTTCTGGCTTTGTGTTCAGAGATCACTTCTGTGGGGCCAGGGGACCATGTGGGTTCCTAGGGATTAAATCAGGGTCAGCTCCATGCAAGGCAGTTGCCTCACTCCATTTCCTGTCTCTCCAGTTCCCTAAAATTCAAATCCTTCCCTATGACTGAGAGTCTTCTATATTTAGGCTGTGCTCCATCTCCAGAGTCTCATAGTCCTTATCTCTCTGCCCTGTACCGCAGCCCCACAAAACACACCTTATACTTGAAGACTCCTCCGCTTCTGCTCTCCCCATGCATCACCTTGTGTTTTTAATCCTCACTGTGCCTCACTCCTCTTTTATTTGTTGTAGAATCCCATTCACACACTTGTCACCCCCCAGTAAAGGATCCCCAACCTCCAAGGCTCCACCAGCTCGGGAAACATGGGACCCACACTTGCAGTATAATGCTAGCCAGGCTGTGAGAAAGTCTAACTCCCACTCTCCCTTGGGCACTAAGGGACCATGAATAAAGAAACTGCATTTTATTTGTTTTGGTCAGATGCCTAAGATAACACTGTGCATGGCTAAAACACAGAATTATGTAGGAGGTACATATTGAGTTAAACTTGTTTAAGAAATAAAAAGATTCAACTTCAGTGATAAATTTGGGGGGAGGAATGTTCCAGATATACCTCTAGTAGAGCAGGTCATTCTTAGGTTAGAGAAATGTTAGATGACATTCTCTTTTCTTTGTAAACCATGTATTTTTTTTTTTGGTGATTTCCTGGGTGTGTTGTGGGTGACTTTTTCCCTGACCTGAGAATGCTGTATGAGAATAGAAAATATTCCCCAACTGATAGGAAATTCCTTGAGCCCTAATATCTACAAAGCAGTCCTCAGACTTGGCTGGCCGGCAGTGGTGCTGTGGAGTATTCTGTTGCCCTGCCCAGTGAGCTTTATGCAGTGCACTTAAAATTTAGAAGGCACTTGAGTCACTCTCAGGTATGCCCGAGTCATTCTCAGGTATGCCCAAGTCCCCGAACTCACCAGTGAATACATTCGTCCTTTTCCCAGCCTGGCTTTGATCAGAATAACTAGAGACCAGACTCCCCATACTGTTGACTACTCTTCCACAATCCTTTTTCTCACAAAGATAGTGAGTTGGCCAGAACCTAAAGCATTGTCTCAAGTAAGGGAAAAGACAATATTGAACAAAGACAAACTCTTGACCTTTTTTTTACAGTCCCTCCTACCCTGGGTGGAGGAATAGGAGGGAATGATGACTGGGCTAGAGACCACTTAAGGACAGTGGTAGAAGGTTGTGGCCACTTGGTTGATGGTGGCATACAGTAACTTTAGTCATCAATATCACATACTTAGGCATTGATGAAACCATCTAACCCAAATTATAATAAATTTTTTAAAAATAAATTTTAAAATAAAAAAACATTGGGGCCACAGTGATAGTATAGCGGGTACGGCATTTTCCTTGCACGTGGCTTACCCAGGTTTGATCCCCAGCATCCCATATGAACCCCTGACCACTGCCAGGAGTAATTTTTGAGTGCAGAGCCAGGAGTAACCCCTGAGCATCACTAGGTGTGACATCCCCCTCCCCAAAAAAGCTAAATAACAAAGCATTGTCTCACCCAACAAAAATAATAGTAAGTGTACATTTAAAAAAGAACTTAAAGTGGGGCTGGAGTGACAGTACAGTGGGTAGGGTGTTTGCCTTGCACGCGGCCAACCCGGGTTCTATTCCCAGCATCCCATATGGTCCCCTGAGCACCGCCAGGAGTAATGCCTGAGTGCATGAACCAGGAGTACCCCCTGTGCATCGCAGGGTGTGACCCAAAAAGCGGGAAAAAAAAATAACCTATAGTCTGAACCACTTTCCCTGTGCGCAAGCCTTAGACATACGTCCTGTAATTTGTGAGGTCAACTGTGAGTGCTAACCCACTGCTTTTCCGCAGAAGCCAGGGAGAGATAGACTTAGACTGTGGTGATGTGCCAGCTGTATCTTGTTGATTTACTCAGGTGATTCCAGCAGTTACAGTCAGAATCAACCCCTTTTTACACATCTTGACATCTCTACTCGAACTTACTGCACTGTGCATTCTTGTGCATTCTAAGCGCTGATTTTTTAGTTTGTTCCCACCCAAAAGGAAAGACATTTTCTGTTACTAGCAATTCCTTTAGTAATCGCACATACTGCTTTGCAGTGTAGTTCATGTAAATCTTACCCCAGAGGGGATATATGTGTGTGTGTGTGTGTGTGTGTGTGTGTGTAGGTAAGAGAAATGGAGTGGGTTATCAAGGAAAAGAGACACAGGAAGAAAAGAGGTAAGGTAAATAGAAAACTCTCAGTCATCAGTGTTAAATGTTATGGGAATGAGTAGGCACTTCCTGTGCAATGCATTTGCAGAGTTTCTGAAATCAAATGAGTTGAGAGCAAATTAGAATTTGTTTAGATGTAGTAGTAAGTCTTTAATGATATATAGACATAGCCTTTTTTGCAGATCTTTCAGATTTCTCGGGAGATAAATCCCAACAAAATTAGGAGCCTCACCATTGAAGGTTTCTGTGTAATTATCTTAAAATTTCGATATGCCATTTGCTACCGTTTGTAACCAGTATGCAGCTGTGACTTGAAAATTGAATAGTAATAATTAATAATAATAATAAATAAATTTCATTAGGATAACTCAGTGGCTGCTTAAGGTTATAAGGTTTCCATCTTAGAATAAGTTTGTAGCATAATAACAATTTTCTGAAGCGTGACTTTTAGCTTTGGGTTTTTTGTTGTTTTTGAAACAGAAATCTTAATCAGGGTAGAAGTATAATTCATTGGTAGATCACTTGCCTGGTTTCTATCCCCAGACCATAAAGCAAAAGTCAGTTTCTAAAATGGAGAGAGTTTTTATTTTAGGGAGTATTTCTTCCCAAATTATAGACTGGCAACACATGTAGTAATACTAGAGATCAGCTTCAAGTGCATATTCAAGGTTGGGAGTGATTTAAGTGTTGGTACACACATCTAGCACACACCAGCCTTATGTTCAGTCCAGCACCGCGTCCTCCACCCACTGCTGGGAATAACCCAGCTTGTACTGAGTAGAGGCAGCTCTGCCCTGGATGCTGTCACCCCCAGCAGCACTGCATTAATACAAGTCTAAGTTCCCAGCTGCTAGGCCCATCTTCTCAGGCCAGGCCTTCCAGGGGTGTCCCTTCTAAAAAACAAATTTAAAAAAAAATGCATATTCTTATAGTTCTTGTCCTTCTTAAGCAGTTTCTGGGCATCAAGTCCAAACCTGCATTTTAACAAGCATCCCCTGTACTTAGATGCTTCAGCCAAGAGCTTACAGTACATTTTAGAGAAACCTCAGACCACTAAAAATAAGGTTAAATAATCCAAAATCTATTGGGCACAGTGTCCTTATTCATAATTTAGCCTATGACTTTTTTCTTGTTTGTAGCGATGGCATTTAGAGGATGCTAACTCTATTTACTTATTTATGAATTTATTTATTTATACTGTTTATTGTTCTGGAGGACATTTAAGACAGAGAGGACAGTGATGTGGGAATACAAACAAATTTTGCTGTCCTAAATAAGTAATCTGTATGACACTTACGAACAGACATATTTCTCAACTAAGATATTAAACTTTTCATTTCCTGTGTGTGATTTTATTTTAATGGTATGCTATGGAAAATCACCGAGAATACCATCATATGTTTAAACTTATTCAGCGACTCTTTCTGAAGATGGATGTTTTGCTCCTAGCATTCTCCCTTTACCTTTTTTCGTATTTGCATTTTGTCCTGCTTTTTGGTCTTGTTGGATTTTTTTTACATCCAGCTAAAAGCTCTCCCTCCAATAAATATTAAAACTAATATCAGCTTTTCTCAGACCATAAAGGGGTGCAAACCTTATCATGTTTCTCTTCTTTGTTTCAGAACCTTTTACCTTTCTGTAACATTTCCTTATTTCTATGTGAGCATTTTTCAAAGCTTATTATAGGAAAAATGATATGAAAAGGTATAACCATTGAACATAAATCACAATAAGTTAGAAAATAATAAAAAATAGCTCACTCTTCCTGCCTGTTATTTTGCCCCAAGGATGTAACCTTATAAAAATATTCCTTAACATTAAATCAGAGTTGTAACCACACACATTTTGGTCATGCATTCATTGTAAAAAGGTGCGATCTTCTTTTTTTTTAATTGAATCACCATGAGATAGTTACAAAGCTTTCAGTCATACCATGATTGAACAGCCATCCCTTCACCAGTGCACATTTTCCTCCACCAGTGTCCTCAGTATCCCCCACCCTCACCCCACCCCTCCCACTGCCTCTATGGCAGACAATTTCCCCCATACTCACTCTCTCTACTTTTGGAAAAGCTGCAGTCTTTAAGTTGCAAATTTAACAGAGGGGGCTGAAACCCAGTGCTGGAATGCATAACTTGCATGTGGACACCCTATGCTCAATCCCCGGAACGACCTGGTCCTCAGAACTACAGCAGGTATGGTCCTAGTGGCCCACAGCACTGCTGACTCGAGCAGTACCATGTTCTTGGGCCTGAGCGTTGATCGGTGCCAGTCAGGGAGCAATGCCATGAGTGACCCTCAGACCTCCTGAGGATTTCTTGGGAGCCCCTTCCCCCTACTTTGGGCTACAGAAGTATAGGAGGTCATGAATACCTCCTATAATAGGACACTATACTGCTTGCAGTGATCTATTTTGAAACGGAATATTATTTGTAGATTACCTA